TACCCCTGCTGGTGCAGGAGGAGCTTTTGCTTTGATCTTGTGCAGAGCGGCGACTTCTCGTATCATCTTAACCCTCTCGTCTGGTGAAAATGCTAAGCACTTTATGTCCAAGTCAAAAATAGACGAGACACATTCAAACAAATTCTCATCCCCTCCTCTTTGAAGAATTGATATATTCCGATAAACATAAAGTGTGGATACAAGAGATTATATATAGTAGAGGTGTCCTAGTTATGTTAGGAAACCTACTATGTTAGGAATCCTTAATTAATGAGGACTATACATGTATGGAAACTACTATATACAAAAAAACTAAATATATACTTAATATATTTAACATGCTCCCAAGGGCACTGGTGAGGAACGCCGAACTCCCAAGCAATCCCGGAATTCTGAAAAAATGATGGATGGAAGACCCTTCGTGAAGATATCAGCATACTGGAGGGACGAAGGGACATGGAGTACTCGGACCTGTCCGAGAGCCACTTAGTCTCTAACAAAGTGTATGTCAACCTTGATGTGCTTCGTGCACTGAAGCTTAACAGGATTTGTAGAGAGGTAGACGGCACTCACATTATCACAGAAAACAAGAGTGGAGCGTTGAGTGGTTGCTGGAGTTCTAGGAGAAGATTGCGTATCCAGCTGACTTTGGCTACGACATTGGCTACTGTTTGATATTCTGCCTCGGCACTAGATCTGGACGTGGTGAGTTGGCGCTTAGAAGACCAGGAAATGAGGTTGTCGCCAAGGAATATGCAGTAGCCGGAGGTGGACCAGTGTTAGGGCAGCCAGCCTAATCGGCATCTGAGTAGGCCCGTATATGGTCCATGTGAGATGAAGAGATGGAGATGCCATGTGATGGTGTGTCGTGGAGGTATCGCAAGACCCGCTTCATGGCCGTGACGTGAGGCGTGCGTGGATCATGGAGGAATAGACAGAGCTACTAGACGGCATAGGTAATGTCAGGACGAGTGAACGTGAGATACTATAGGGCCCCCACAATAGAGCGATATAGGGAGGGGTTTGGCGCAGGTGTTCCTTCTGAGGCTGACAGTTTCCCTCGTGTATCAACCGGGGTGGATACCGGTTTGCAGTTGAGCATGCCCGCTCGATCAAGAATATCATAGAGAAACTGAGTCTGTGTCAAGAACAAGCCATGAGAGGTGCGCTGAACATTGATCCCAAGGAAAAACTGTAGATCCCCCATATCTGTCATAGCGAACTCACCCTTCAACCGCTATATAACCCGCTACAGAAGTTCTTGCAAGGACGCTGTGAGAATAATGTCATCGACATACAGTAGTAGGAAAGCCATCTGAGACCCTTGACCATAAGTGAACAAGGAAGTGTCGCTCTTGCACCCGCGGAAACCAAGTGTGAGAAGGAAGCCAGTGAAACGCTGATACCAAGACCGCAGTGCTTGTTTCAGTCCGTAGAGCGCCTTGCTCAGTTTACACACATAATGGGGTCGGGCAGGGTCCTGAAATCCAAATGGTTGGGCCGTGTACACCGTCTCTGTAAGTGCACCATGTAGGAAGGCATTCTTGACATCTAGCTGGTGAATTGGCCATCCACGTGATACGGCTAGGCTGAGAATGATCCGAATGGTTGCCGGTTTGACCACCGGGCTGAATGTCTCATCATAATCTATGCCATGACGTTGATTGAATCCTCGGACAACCCATCTAGCTTTGTACCTAGACAGTTCACCTGTAGGGCCAAGTTTGTGTCTAAAGAGCCATTTGCCAGAGATAACATTTTGGTTAGGGGAGAGAGGTACTAAATCCCATGATTATATTCATCTAACATAGCATTGTACCAATTTTGATCTTTGAGTGCACTACGGTAGGTGGGGGGATAGGGGATATGCTAGCAACGGTATTTAGGTTTAG